ATTCCCTGGTTTTACTCCTTGAGCCCAGCTGACCAGGTGCGTTGAATGTCTCCTCCATATGAACGGTTTTGACTTCTCAGGAGAAAGTGCGAAACGGCGAGTTATCTGATGACGAGGATGATGACGATGATGAGGTCAACAGCAATCGTCCATATCGTCCGAAAGCGGCATCGGGCGCTAACACTGGGAGAAATTCAGCGATGCGGAGAAGGGCACAATAGAAAGATAAGGTATACAGAAATTCAGCAGTACTTCCCGACTTTAGTTGTTTGCTTCAATTGGACCTCTCATTTGACAAGGGTTTTCTGCCAGGCTCTCCCCACCATGATGGTCTTTGTTGCAGCGGTGAAGGAACATGTTGGGGTGATGATGAGATTGTCTCGTAATCCTCGAGTTCGGTTCGAGTAATCAGTCAATTATTGAGAGTAGCGCGCCGAAGTCAATGGACTCCTATGTGTATTCGTAGACGAGATGGAAGACTCCTGAAGCATTCCGATATCGTACTTATCCTTACGGTTTTCCTACTACCCCACAGTGTGTTCAAGCTCATATTATCATTTACTCGGCTACGCTCAGTTCATCTCCGTACCGTTCGGAGCCATGCTGGGCTAGTTGTTGCACTAGCAGGTTCTGTTGATTGAATTCCCTTCCTGCTCGCTCTTCTTAATAGAGTTGAGATTTGATGTTGTATCTGCACTTGTGGAAACGTTCCTTTCGCGGGACTCCCATATTTGAACTTCCAATGGCGCTCTCTTGAATATTATTCTGTGAGTGATCAACTATGCAGCTCGTGTACATCCTAGTCGAGCAAGATTTGGGATTGTGGGATGAATACTTCATGTGTTAGTACCTCACTGACTTTATTCGTTGTGTTGGTTGCGTTCACGAAATAGCAACGACGTCGAAGGTTTGGTATCGGCCACTCGGATGCTCTACTTATGTTTATCACATTTCTAGTACCTGGTGGTTCATCGAGAGGATAATTAGCTTCGTTAGGAATCCCTCGGAGCTGAGCGTAGCCACGTGTTCTCTATTTCATACATGTCGAGTTCGTCTGGCGCCGCTCAGGGCAATAAGAAGTCATCTGATGAGTGTGTGAAAGTAATCATTCACGTATCAGGGAGTCACATCGTGCTGAACGTTTGCGTTGCACAATTTCACAGTGTTGGAAATATGCACTACGTCAACTACATGTTTTGGTGACAATATGAAAATTCTAAGGAAATTTTGGGGGATTCTTGTTGGGTATTATTGGGGGAACTCCTGAGCTCAACTGGGGTGAGCTATCAGTTTTTCCAACACTACTGTTGCAGGTCGTAATCCGTGCAAGGCCCAGTATCGGTTCAGTCGGTGTGGAAGTGCCAGAGTCACTCACTGCTTCATCTGGCACCGCATCTGCTGAGAACGACTGGTGAATCTTGGGGATTGGTTTCGGATCAGTATTGTCGTATCGCAACTCGCTTGTATCGATGAATCAAATACTTGAAGTATCCAGATTACCTCCATCGTTGTTAATCGTTAGGGAACTCACCGCAATGGTTGAGGTTCTGTCTACAGTGATACTCATAAAATCATCAACTAGCTTCACGAAGTTGAAGCGAAAATTTCCTTAGTTGTGCAATCTGCACAATTACATTCGTCGAGAGACGGGTTCACGAGTGTATCAGGTACACCATAGATCCAATGGGAAAATGTGTGCAAGTCGGTCATGCTATTCTCTGCTACTCTAACGTCTTCGGCCCGGAGGCGACACAGGAGGACGTGTACAATACAACTGTTGGAGAGGTTTTGGACGCCGTCCTCGACGGTTTCAATGGCGCAGTTTTCGCGTAATTGTAGCTGCCATTCGGTATTGACTCATCACGCGTGTCGAGAAATGATTGTACCTAGTTAAGAGGCTGAGACGACTAACATTGTATTTCACGTGACGTGAAAGTTGATAGTATTCTTGATGGTTTTCATATCGGGCAGGTACGGCGTTACTGGGAGTGGCAAGACATTCACGATGATGGGAAGTACAGAGAATAAAGGTGGGTACATTTCGGCTTGATAATGGTATCACATTATATCTTGTCTGTTTACCCTTCCATCGATCGTGTCACACGATCGATGGAAGAGTAAACAGGTAAACAGGCTTACACACGATTCGTGTGTAAGCTGCTGATGTGAAGTGCCACAGGTTTGATTCCACAATCATTCGGAGAGCTATTTTATAAAGTGAATGCTCGGCCGGGAGCGACCATCTCGGTGTCCTTCCTCGAAATCTACGGAAAGAAACTCGTGGATCTCCTTAACACTGATGCAAGAGCACTCTCGGCAAAGACGAATACTACCACAAACTTGGAGATATGTGGCAACAGCACGAGAATCCACGTTCGGGGCATAACGGAAATCGTCGTTAAAAACGAGACACAGGCCTTGGAGGTTCGACCTTTTCAACCTGTTGCTGTCACAACGACCATTAACTCTCGAGGTCCTTCAAGACGGATGTAAGATGCTGCACTTTCGTCAAACGGAGTGCAATGAGTCATCGAGTCGATCACATGCAGTGTTTACCATCAATTACACCAGTTGTGCCGGGCGTCGCTCTAAGCTGGTCATGATTGATCTAGCAGGGAGTGAGAACGTCAAGAGGAGCAAGGTGACAGGTTGACTTGCACGCCGGTGGTCTCGTGTCACACCAGGTGAACAGAGACGGTGTGAAGGAGGCCGGAGAGATCAACTCCAGTTTGTCTGTGCTGGGCCGTGTTGTTGAAGCCTTGAACAGTGGCAGCTCGCATATCCCTTACAGGGAGTCTCTATTGACCCGTCTCCTCCAGGATTCTCTGGGGGGCAGTTGCAAAACTTGTATGATAGCAACCATTAATCCCGAACGAAGGTGAACTCTCTCGAAATCAAAGAACTGATCTGAACAACGTGAATTCACACAGCTAATTTTATGTCGGGTCGTTATCGGTATTGCCAGTAATCAGTAGTGCAAGTTCTTTGGTGTATTATCTATGGTCTTATGATAGGAAAGAAAGTGAATACCGGCAGACTATGAATACGCTACAGTTCGCGCAGCGTATGAGCAAGGTCGTGAATCGCCCAAAAGTTGTCGCTATCGATAACGTTGATAAGCGGGGCAGCGTGAGCTCTCCTGTAGGTCTAGACTAATGGTTGCAGCTGCTTCCCGTAGTAGCTCGTCAGTCATGTGCATGCGTGGATGCCTATAGATGCGGAATGCGACGAGTGTTTGTATTCCTCAGCGAGGAATTCTCAGGGTTTCAACCGACGAGAATTAGAGGAAACGATGACTCGCACGATGGAAGAGTTCAAATCCGAGTTCAAAGGCTGGAGAGACAATCTGGAAAATCTCGTTGGACAGAACAATCGGACGTCTTTCGCCGAGCTAGAAGAAGTTAAGCGTGTCCACAGGGAAAACATCGGAGCGAAAGAGCAGCATATCGAGGACGTGAGGGTAGCCTTGCACTGTTCCTGCTGAGCAGATAGCCTCGGCTTGAGGTGCAACTTGAGGCTGCTAGAGATGAAATTGAGCGGCTCCGCGCGGCAGTGTCGGACCGTTCACGAGAGGCAGAACGTTATATAGAGGAAACTAATGAGAAACACCGCAGGGAAACTAGAAAGCTGAATGATGTGCTTTGAAGATCCTCAAGCGGCAGAGAGTGTTTTGACGGCCATGCATAATCGGTCCTGTCAGGAACTGGTATCTGCTGCTGCCGCCGCAGCCTGCAACCAACAGACCGCTACTAGACTGGAAGCTGAGCTGATAGAGATGAAGAGACAAGTACGACACAAGCATAAATTCTATCGATGCTATGCCTCTGTTGGAATAGCATGTCCTTCGTTGTGGGTAACTCATGTGCACCTTGGCAGGTTTCTCGCACTCCTGGGTTGACATCACAACTGGAAGTCCAAGGTGCTGAGATTCAGCGTTTACGTGCAGCACTGGAAAGGGTGACCAGAGAGAGGGATGAAGCGATGGGGAAGATGAACATCGTTTCCAACGACGTCCGTACGGAGGCGAAAAGAGATGAGAACGCCAAAGTGAGCAATTTGAAAAAATACTTTGCAATGCAAATAACGAAACAACGTATATGCAAACTTGCGTCAACTTACTGTTAAATAACTTACTTACATATACTCACTGACTCACCAGTAGATTCCAAGATGTAAGAGCACCGCTAGTCTAATGGTTAGGATATCTGCCTTCCAAGCAGATGGTCCGGGTTCGATTCCCGGGCGGTGCAGTTTTTCTTCCAATTTTTTCTTGGTCGTGTATGTCATGTAAGTGACAGGGCGCAAGACATCTTCTTCTGCAGGAAGGAGCTTTCAAACTCAGTCCCACTGAGACCAGTCTTGTGAGAACGCTGGCTGTGTCACACGCCTCGGACGCCGTACTGAGTGTGCAGAACGATAGTGAGAGCGGATCCGCAGAGCTACTCGTGAGGTGCCTTAGACGTGCAGCAGCGTCAGCATCTGTTGTTGTCGATGGGTTCTGAGGACTCCTGCTTTCAGGAACGCATGGGTGCGCCAGGACCCATTCCAGGAAAGAGAGGTAACGGGGGATGCTAATTGTGTCTCGAGTCTCTCTGAGACACGGCGTAGTGTGATCGGCAAATGGGTGTTCAAATAGTGTCGATTGATTGGGCGCGACTGAGGACGTCTTTTGTCTAATTCAAGGCAGGAGTGTGGTAACCGCAGCGTGGTTTCAGGTGCTAACATACTCGGAGGGCTCCTTGACTCAACCTAAACGGGAGGCCTCCCCGGTAGCACAGCGGGAACTCAGAAATGTCAATACTGGAGATCGTGTAACCATCTCGACATTTATCATACAAGCTACTCATTGTATCCATTGTTCTGTCATAGACCCCTGTACCCGACTATTGTTTGCGTGTTTTTTCACTTAGTGGTGGACTGGCGATACGAGACCCGTGATGAGGCTCTTGGAGCGCCGAGAAGGGCACGGGCACCGACGACCGAGCACGGAATGTGTTCTGCAAAGCTACACTCATAGGGCCCCGCCTGTGCCCACGAGCCCCATTGGGTCGGTGTATTCGAAGCGAGCGTATTGTCACACTGGGTTGCAGGCTCCACCTAGAATCAGTTGAGCCACTCGACCGCAAACTGATGGAGAGTGTTGATCGTCTTGAAGCTTACGTATCCCAATATAGCTGTCAGCACAATGTTCCCACCATCGAGAAGTTGAGTCACGATCAGCAGTGAGCAGCGATAAACTAGCGTAGCCAAACTCTCAGGCAATAACTCGAGAGCTGAAACATATCTACACCGGAGCGAGCGTCTCTCCTGAGGAGCTTTATCCTACTGTTTACCATCTCCTCGTCGAAGTCCTACATCTTGGCAGTACGAAACTTTCTCAGTTGGCACTGCGGGTAGCCGCAGTTGAAGCTGTACTTGCTCATCAAGATGAACGCGTACAGGTGCTCTCGCGATTATGCTGGAACTCGCCGGTCAACCGGGCTCGTTGTGTGACAGATGCAGACCGAATGGGACTGCCTGAACTCCTTGTCACAATCCTGGAGGTGTTTGTTACATTACTGACCGAATTCTCTGAATGCCTTACTCAGGATTCTGGTACCAGTGAGCGACTGGCTGCTCAGGCGACGCGATTTACAACGGTTATCATAACGCAAGCGTGGCGAGGTATGGGGAAGTTGAATACGAGATCTGCTGGTGCTGTCATCCCAGATGCATCGGAGGGTCCCGGGGTTCCTGTGCCGGTGCCCTACTGTTCGACAATGATGTTGCGAGCCCTCGTGGTGGCTTTCAAGCAGCACCATGCGAACCCTGATATATTCGTTCATACGTGCTTTTGTATCTACGGGTTCATACAGTATCACTCAAAAAGGGGTCCATCGGATGATGACGATGAAACGCTGCGACAGGTGATAGGTCGTTCTTCGGGCACGATGCTCATTCGGGTGCTGGTGATAGAGGACTTATTCTGGGAGCCTCAGGGCATCGAGATGCTTCGCGAGAGTGACATTGTCGGAATAGTCCTCGAAGGTCTCAAGAAGCATCATCTTGTCGATAAGATGAGTGGCTTTGCTGGCGTACAAGTACTGCAAGTTTTCTTCAGCCACAGAAATGCCGGTGAGCAGTCCGTCGATCGGCTACTACTACTACTACTACTACTACTACTACTACTACTACGATGAGGGCCCCGTGCTGATGCGGAGCCGTGACCATGAAATTTAAGATTCGTATCTCACCGATGCCGATGATTTGATGATACAAGAAGCTACTGAACTCATCCTGCGAGTGATGTGCATCAATACAGGCCACAGCGGTACATACAAGCATTGCGTGCTACTGCTGCAGACTCTACTGGCTTCCGCGCGGTATAGCGAAAAATGCAAAGTGAGCAGAGTATGCCATTCACATATTTGCTTATCTCGATGTCGGC